TGCCTTTTCTCCTGCTCGCATCCCATTGGTCACCTGTCAGCTTGTCAATTCCTTCCAGACACCCCAGGATGGACCTCATAGTCCGGGCCAATGCCCTTCTCTTTCCTCCCCCAATGGAGACTTCAGTGGGGTCCTTTCTTGGAAGGATCGTACAGAAAATCAATGACGCTGAAGTCCACTACGAAAATATCTCTTTTAAATTGGGGCCCATGAGTTGGAGTATTTTTCGTAGGGGGTAAAGCTAGTTCTGTATCTATTCGTTCTATCTTTCTAGCAACACCGTTTGTGTCCTTATTTTTCGACTACTCGATCTGACATGGAAAGATAACAAAGAATTTAACTGTTTTCCTGTCCAGTGTTTCTGTGGATGTCCGAATGTTTACTTTTTGTACTCTATTATGTTGGTTAGTGCGTAATGATTTACCTGTTGACGTAACTTTTTAAATTGTTCAATGCCATCCCCATCTCTTTAAAATGTATTCCTCAAATTTCACTTTATGCGGTTAAAACCGGTGGTTTCTAACACGTGCTCTTTATGAATTCATTCTATACTAAGATATATTCTCGGGTCTCATGACTCCCGAGTTTAGAAGTAGTGACGAGCGTGTGCAATACCTGGAGATGCCTCTCTAAATGCAACGTAACACGAACATATTTGAGATTTCTACTGGTGACAGAGTCGGCCACTGCTAAGTCACTGTCTCCACTCGTAATGGAAGTAAATGCTGGATTTCAGTTAGAGCTTAGTGCAAATTAAAGAAGTAATTTTCTCTCAGGCTTCGAAGCCCACAGACCCCAGAACAAGACACCCTGCTACAGTCCCTCCCATTCTGGAGTTTACTGATGGAGTGAGTTGTGGCTTTAGAAATGCATCAGGAATCTTCATTCACCACCAGGCTCAGCACCCAAGGGGCCCCCTTTCCAGTAGCTGGTACAGCTTATCACTCTGCTCATGGCACTTTGGCCTCTGGGGCCCCAAAGTAGGCTTCCTTCCTACTTTGCAGCTGACTCTTGACTCCTTTGCCGGGCCCTCCTGTTCCCAATTCTGTACTCAATAGTTCACTTTGTCTCCTAGCTCCCAGTTATCATCTATATTCCCATGACACTCAGACAATTGTGGCGCAGACCTCTCCCACTTGACCAGCCTCAGATCCGTCTGCCCAGGCCAGGCCCCCATCCTCGCTGGCTGCAATGAAAGCTACGACCTCTTGTCTCCCCGCTGTTGCCCTGTGCCCTGCAGCCTCCCATCCAGGACCCAGTAATGCCTAAATCAGACAAGGTGATGACTCTGTGCAGAGCACCCCCTGCCATCCTTCGTTTCCTCCCACAGCCCCCCGACCTTGTTTTATTTTCCAGAACTCTTATCGTCATCCGTATGTTCGCTTGTTTACTTGTTTATAGTCTCCCTCCACCAAAACATGAGCTCCAGGGGAGCAGGGACCACTTTGTTGACTGAACAGAGAGCATTGGGGCCAGACCTCCGGGAACTCTCACATCAGCTGAGGGACCACGCCCAGTGAGGGTGAGGGTGAGCCTCCCCATCCCTGCCCAGCCTCCTCTCACAGCCCAGGAAAGCCTGGCCCCGGCCTGCCTGGGGAGGAATGGCTGCCTGCCTTCTCCTCCACACCCTTGCTGAGCTCATAGAGAAATGTAGACCAGGAAGAAGCAGTTACCTGGTGGAAGGTGTACTCGGCCACCTGGTAGAAGAGACGCAGCAAGGTAGGGTCTCCACTGTCACTGTAGCCCATGAGGAAGGCAATCATGGCTTCACTGTGTGGCCACCAGAGCTTCATGGCCCATTCCAGCTGAAAGCACAGCAGAGACAGGTGTCTGAGAGTCCTGGGTCCCACTCTCCACTGCCCCTCTCAGCAG